GAGAGCAAACGGATGCGAGAGAAGATGGAAAGGACAAGATTCATCGGATGCGAAAATAGAACGGGTCACTAGGTGCCCCGGTGACAATTAAACGAAACGAGAATCTTATTTCTCCGTCCGGAAGAGATGCAACACGTGGGATTCCGTATTTGCCAAAATTAATGGCCGCGTCTTTAGATTGAACGAGAAAACAATTAATTTCCTTTTTCCTTTCGCGGTTTTCATTAAATATAAATTATTTTTTCGAAGTTGTTACTGATTGTTATACGTTTGATGAAGCATTTTATGAGGACTATTAATAACGATCATGTAAAATATTCATAAGAAAGATAAGCTTGTTTTGTTTTGACTGTAAATTAATTTTATCAACCTGGCGTTTGAATATTCAACGCCGAATCCAGATTAAATACTTCATGACAGGTTATTGTGACACAGAATGCGGACAATGAAAGAATAATTAAGAGTGTCAGACAAGTACAAGTTCTGCAGTCTGTTTTTTTTTATCAGTGATAGTAAATAATGTTTCCAAAGTCATCATCAAGTCGATCATCTTCATGGATCTAGGTAGCAACTGCAACTTCAGTAGCATGTGAACATTCATGAGATGAAGAACGATATTGTGTCGGCATTCACGAACAGATTTTACATCCCGAGGCAACAATGCTTACGTATGTAAGCGGGCGTAAGATCGACTCACGTCCATAGAAAAGTAACTTTAAGATTATACTGGTTCGTTATTAGTTTTCACTTCGCAAAGTTACTTTTATCACTTTCACTTGAATGAAGCATAGAAAAATTATTCGTACGTAAATTAGAGATATCCCGATACAATTTATTTATCTATTTATCTTATTAAAAGCGTGATTTTAATTAACGTCAAATATAACGTTGAGAAGATAATTGAAATATTTCTGTAATTGGTATAAAAATGTATTGGAAATAAAACTTATATAAAGCATATTTATCTTCCTGTAAATGCCAATTTTAATTTTCCCAAATATATTGTTACTTAAGCAAATTGTTAAAAATAAAACAATATATAAAATTTTTAATTTGCTAATTATACATTTTGACGTACAGTGTTATAAAAAGTTTTTATTAGAAAAGAGAAAAGAGGACATATAATGACTAATTAGGATCAAAGATAATTTAAATTATTTAATTTAAAATTGTTTGTTACTTTTTAAATATAACCAAATAAATTTGCAGAAGATATAAGATACATATAATTTTAATTAATGCTTCAAACACTGAGAGTACCACGTCGTTCTCAATTATCGAAGTTTAAATACAATACATCAAAATTCTCGACATGTTTCAGACACATATTACATAGTGTGGTTCATAGACGCCATACTTCCTTCGATGCTGCGGCAATTCGCGCAGAATGTAATTTTCACGTTTTACGTCATCCCAGAGTGTGGAAGAATATTAGTCGGGGTTATTACAAGACCGTAGAAAAAAACCAAGCGACATTTCTTGCGAGTTGTATTTGTGTCGCTGGCCAATCTTGGACCCTTGAGAGAAAGAATTAATTTCGCGCTCGCATTTGGACTATTTTTTTTCATCCCCACCGCCGACAGTTTAATGCGTTTTTTGCACATTTCATTCTCAGGTTCCCGATGCTAATGAAAGAAAGGAAGGGCGTAGAAAGAGCCCGCCGGAGGCTGTATGCGGATCGATCGAAGACTCCACTTACTCCCTCACACCATGTCGAAAGAGACGAACGAGAATTATTTCTTTCAACGTTTCTCTGTCGTTCGCGCACATCTTTCCTTATTCTCGCAAAGCGACACGATGATATTAGCTTGTTCAGCAGATTCTTCCGGAAAATTACACGCGATTTTAAAGCTCTCGTAGAGCTTTCCGTGATGACAATGGACTGGAGAGACTCAAAGAGAATTCCGACGTGAACAAACTCGTGCATGATTAATATTGTTAATTTTTGCAGAGCGAGAGTTAAAACTAAACTTTAACATTATTTACCGACAGAGAGCCGAGAACGGAGTAAGAGATTATTATCGGGAGGATGGGCATCACCGGAAATATTTTACCACCAGACCTCGCGTTTAATTAAAAGCAGTTTTTTAATTGCGCGTGATTACAAAGTTGAAGTCCGATAGATGCGAGCGAATCTTAAGGTAGAAAAAAATATAGACATACAAATATAATATATTCGAGAATGAAGCAAATAATACATTATATTTATAGATTATTCTTTTATAATTTAATGTGTCATTTATAATTTAATGTGTCAATTATCCTTAAAAGAGAGAAAAAAATAAAAAGAAAGAAGAAAGAAAAACTCTCTCGATATTCTCTTTGTATTCTGCATGATAATGTAATGGAAATTTATTTCCTTAATTTTGCCAAGAAAAATAGATTTTACCGTTGTTGACTGCTATGCACGGAATATAAATCGTCTCGTCGGTGTAAAAATATTGTTGACGTAATTCACATCATTCATTTCGTATCCGGTTCGCCCATGATTGCGAATTTTGTACAAGGCGGTCAAGTTGGAAACAATAGAATTGATGTAAGCCTGACAAGTATTCGTATATGTACGTTGCAGGAAAACGCCTAGCAATACGCATTTACTTAGACAGGGATAAACGGGGACAGAGAGACGAATGTGGGCAGTCGGCCAGAGAAACATTTAGCTCTTTGAGATTCTTCCGCTCGCAGGGGCAATGACTTATTCGACGCCATCGTGAACACCAGATGAGTGTACATGCGTCGCGTAAAAACGGACGTATATACACGCACACATACACACACACATACACACGATTGTGAAACGAAATCATGCGTAAGCACACTCGAGTACGGATTTAATTGATCCCGTCGGAAAAATACGAGTAGAGCGACTGCAATTCGCAACACGTTCTTACACGCGTTTTATATATATATATATATATATATATTTTACGTCAAACCGACATATTCTTTTTCCTAAAGTAATTTAATCGGATTTCCGAATTGTGAATTCGATTTTGTGGTCGCTAAACCACAAAATAGATGACAACAAAACACAGTAATAATTTAATTAAAAGTAGATCTGGGTATTGTGTGTTGTGTTACTAAGCAATGATAACTTTAGCAGTAACATCCATGATTTTTGCACAATCAAATTTCATCTCACAAATATGTACATTTTATAGAACGCGTGCTTTTGTATAAATTTTCTCAGTTAATATTAAATGTTGTTTCATTAAACTTTACTAAACAAATTATGATATATATCGATAATGTTGATAATACATTAATAAATTAATAAATTATAATGATATATATGACGATAAATTAATCTTCTCATTACAACTTCTCATTACATTTCTCATACTATTATTATTACATAATAATTTTCTTAAATTTTAGTAATATGAAATCCTCATAATCTCATAATTAACATATGCAGTGATTATTTTAGATTATAGAAATTATTTAGATTTTACATTAGAGAAAGAGAAAGAAAGAGAGAGAGAGAGAGAGAGAGAGAGAGAGAGAAAGTTTAAGGTATGTAATATAATGTTAAAAAGTTAGACAAATACTATCTCGTAAAGAAGCCTCGTATCATGATAAATTATGTAATCATTGAGATGCTTTAGAGTTTCATTTAACTAATTAATCGACGTACCGAACGATTTATTGTAAAATATTGCAAAGCGATGGACGCGAAAACAAATTACGACGTGAGTGAAACTTGTTGCCGTGTTCTGCCGATTATGAATGATTTACGCGACATTTGCGCGACGGTGACATGCTGCATCATACACATCGTAACGTCAATTGATATGGAATTTCGTAAATGTACGCATTGTGATAATGTATGCATTGTATTAATTACAACTACAAAAGCTTCGTAATATACATGACGCACGCGAAATCGGCATAAAGGTGGCTCCCCCTTCGTATTGCATTTTTAGCCAATCGATAATAAGATTGTGCAACAGTGCTGTTACCGCAGAGTAAACTAACGTTATTTTAAGCTCGACTAATTTGCTTAAAGAAGCTTGAAGCATTGAAATACAACGAATTCCCAATGACGTCACAAGAGTACAAGCGACTATCAAATTTACAGAGAAAATTTATTGCAAAACGTGTTCGTATTGCAAACGTATCTTATTCGTAAAATAAACGAAAATAGGCAAAACGTTTTTACAAAATACTGACTCATCTCATTTTCATAAAAATACCGCTCTCTATTACGTCAAAGAATTTCCCATCAAAGAGTTCAACTATTTCCGGCTGATGCTGTATAAATGCATTTTATATATAATCTTTTCAAGTTTTCCTATCTTCATTTTAAAGAGAAAAATGTTGGGTACAAAATTAATTATCTTGAATATTATAATGATTTATCTTTTAAAAATATTGCTTCTTTTTAAGGAAAAAAAATGTGCTTATTTCTGACTATCACAGAAACATTTTGTATTTTGTACGTAATCTTTCCCGTTCATTTATTTCAAAGAGATAACAGTTTCTTCCTAAATATTTAACCTATTTCCAACTACACTGCACGCATGTGCCTGTACACGTATTATAATCTTTTTGACCGCATGTTGACGCAAGAGATAATTAGGTCAAACATATGTGCTAAAATATCCATGCAATATACGCAAACTCATATACGCGGAAGGGAATTAACGAGAGGAGCACCAAGTCGCATCCCGCGACCTGATTTCGAGAGAATGGCCTTCGCACAAGGACGCGCGTGACGTGACAGTTACGACAATCTCGGCCAGGATCACGTTTCGCGCAGTTCCGTGATTTTTTTGAGATATCTTTATGTCTCAATAGCATAAGCTCCATCGATATTAATTACTATAAGCAATCACGAGTCACAACATTCGTGCAGGACCGAAGGAATCCAATAATCGAATCCTACAACGACGCGACCACACACGCACACAGAGACGGGGCACACGCGCTCGCAAGGCTAAACCGAGCATCGCGAATCGACCAGTCCGCGGAGAAGAGCGATCGAGTTCTCGACTGACCTGATTTTCCGAGTTGAGCAGTTTGAGCTGTTCGTTGATGAGGCTGTACTTGGTGCTCTCCTCCTTGCGTAACGCTCGTTCCTTCTTCAGCTCCGGACTCCAGAAGGTCTTGATGCTGTGCATCGAGCTGCCCAGTTTCTGGTTCGTCAGCTCGAGCTCCTTCTTCAAGTTGCCGAGCTCGCGCTGCAGATCGTTGTTCTGGTGCTGGAGCTCGCCGATGTAGCCACCGCTGTCGCGCAGCATGTGCGGATTCGGACTTTGACGCGCCGACCTGGAACCGTAAAGCTCGTCCTCCAGGTAGAGCCCGCGATCGCGGCTACGCTCGCGGCTCGGCTCACGTATCGGCACGAATTCCCGATCATGATCGAGAACGCCAGCGGAGGCACGGTCGAGGCTGGTGTAACGCGCTACCATGCCCGCCGAGCTGGACATGGCGGGTCTCGAGGCGCTTCTGGATCGGTGATGTCCGCCCCCACCGCCCCCGGTCGACATACTCCTGCCCCTCTCCTCGAGCATCACGGGACTGCCGAGGTCCTCGTCGCGGGAGTAGTACGGGCTGCCCAGCTGATGGTGATGGTAGCCGCCGCCGTAGCCTAGATGCTCTGGCGAGTTGTTACCACTGCGCGTTCCCCGTTGCTTGCGACCACCAAGCGGACTGCCACGACCGCTCGCATAACTTCGTGACGGACTGCGATCGACGGTCGGCAGTTCGCCCATGCGACGACCACTACGTGGCGAACGTGTGCCACCACCGGGACCGACCACGCCACTGCTCGAGTAAGGGTCCCGTGACATTCTACGGGAAACCTCGGCCCGTAGCCGTACCTCGTCCTCCTCTTCGTAGGCGCGGGAGAACGTCTTGAGTCAGTGTCGTCGTCACGTCAGAGTCTAGTCAGCGTCCCGTTGGTATCTCGTCGGTGTTCTCGTCGTCGGCCTTCTCTTCTACGATCTCGTTTTCGCGATCGCTTTGTGCGAATTATTAGTAATCTACGCGTTCTTCCTCTTCCTGGATCTAGTGACTCAGTGGTCTGTCCTCGGCAGTGTTCGTTCCCCGATTTTCCAAGAGAATCCAATCGGGATCTCGAAATTTTCGCAGTCGCTTTGTCACGCCTCGCGGCGATTCCCCTGTCTTTCGTCACCCTCGCTCGCTGTCTTCACGCTCATATCAGCCCGATTGTCCGCACGGGTGATTCGGTCAACGAGCGTTTTCCTGTTCGATCGTAGCGGGACGTCCGTCCGGTCTATCCGAGCTTTCAGTTAGGGTAAGAGTTGCAGGATAGAGGCGTGCTGTTTTGCACGCCGGAATCTCGACGATCGCCTCTTTTCGGGCGACTCGATTTTCGCTTTGTTCCCAACTTCGTGCTCCAGCATTCGGCTATTACCGATGACGATAACGACGTCGACGGTTCGCTTCCGGTCTCCTTGCGCTTCCGCGATTTTCGACGCCAAATCGCGGACACGGCAACGGCGTGTCCTGGGATGCGCGTGGACGTTTCTACTCTACATGCGATGGCGCGTTCGCGAACGACGTGCATTGACGTGAGGACGTGATCGTTTCGGTCCTCGTTGTCTCTACGCGAGAGACAGCTAGAGCACGTATCGCCGATCTCAACGGAGGTCGCCGGTTCGGTCTCTTCTCTGCCGGTCGATCGACCTCATCTTCGCATCGCGACGATGATCCTCCACCCGATCGATCCTCTCTCCACCCACCGCCAGACCGCCACTACCACCGCCACCTCGCCTCCTCACCGAATAACACTCTTCCGCGCTTCTGGCCGGCGTACTACTACTAGCGGCTAGTACTACTACGCGCGTGGGTCACTTCGTACTCGGCGGCGGCGTACGGCGAGGTCACGACCCTCGTCAACCCGAAAATCGATCTTTGACCTTCTTTCGGCGGCGTAGCCCATCGAGCGAGGGCGAATAGAGATCGAGGGGGAGAGAGAGAGAAAAAGAGGTAGTCGACTCCCTCTTCTTCCACTTTCCCGTCTTCCTGAGCCGCGAACGAACGAATGAACGAACGAACGAATGAACGAACGAACGAACGAACGAACGAACGAACGAACGAATGAACGAACGAACGAATGAACAAACGAACGAACGAACGAACGAACGAACGAACGAACCTCCTCTCGCGTACCCTCTCTCGTTTCCTCTTTCGGTCTCTCTCGCTCTCTCCCTCGGCCTCCGATCGCGGCGCTCCGAATCCAAGAACCGCCCTTTCGCGAGCCAGTCAAGTCGACGAACCGAGCCGGTTACGTTCCCTTCTTCGCGGACCTCGTTCCACCCTCGTGTGCTCAGCAGCTCGCTTGCTCGCACGCGCGTACTCGCGCCTGCGTGCGTGTGTATGTCCGCGTACTACACGCGTCTGTCTCGCTTCCGTGCTCGCGTGCGCTTGTCAGCGCACCATACACACTCACACCTCGGCGGAGGAGGAGAAGAGGAGAGGAGGAATATATATATATATATATATATATATATCTCTCCTTCTCTCTTTACGCGTCGCGCACCGCCGTTCCCGTTTCACGAAACCAGCGCCTAAGGTCCCTCCTTATCGATCTCATTCTCTCGTCTCTCTTTCTTTCTCTCTCTTTTTCCCCCCTTCCGGTCTCGTCGTCGTCTCGCCGTCCGCGCCTCGTGGATGATGCTCGACGTCCTTCCGCCCGATTTCCGGTGAGACACAAGAGACGGCAAACGCGATACGGACGGCGAATCAACCACTGACCAACCGACCAAACCGATCCAACCGACCAACCGCACTACACTATCCACCGTCCACTACCGGAGCACAGCCACTTTCGTGCACTGACGCCGCCACCACCGCCGCCGCTACCGCCACCGGCGTTCGCCGCCACCCTCACGCTTACCCACCCTCTCCGTGCCTTTTCCCCGCTTGCTCTTTTCTCCACCCTCCCTATCTCTATCTTCCTCCTTATCGTTCGCGCAGTCGAACACGGGCCAGCCACCCCGTACGTATACACACACGTATATACATTTGCGATTGCGCGAACCTGTGATTACTCCCCCGTTCGGCGGCGCGTAAACGCGATTGTATGCGTTCTATGTACCGACGACCATCATCGAAAGTCGTGAAGCAGACGAGGAGGAGCCTCGGTACGGCACGCGACGGATCCGCGCGCACTGAGAGAGTACTCTAGTGCCGGTTACAACCAAGTGAGAGAGGCCACCCTTTGCTACCACTACTATCGAGACTACCACCATCATCAACCACCTTTGCCGGTTCTTCCATCATTGGCGCCACCTTCGTAGAAGCGTCACCGCAAGTTACGTCCCTACTCTACAAGCATGCTCTACGTACAACGTCACTATAATTGTTGTACACACGCGCACACAAACACACACACACACACACACGCAATACAAGCATACGTACATACATACATACACACGGAGGGTGAAGGTAAAAGCATCGGCAGCGCCACCGATCGACGTCACCAACGTCATCCCGACAGCCACGACACCGAGGCGTATCACCCGCTCGATTTCCCCTCGCCATCCCGATCATACCCCCTCACCGTTGATCACTCCCACCGGTGGCATAGTTGACTCTATGGCGAACATCCCTTCTTCAGGGTAATTCTCTAACGCGCAGTAGCACGCGCGGATCCATGTGTGGGCAAGAGTACAGGGTACCATGCAATTGCGCAATGTCACTGGGTGCCAAATTTGGTGATAAAAAAATTTCGTTAAAAATAATAAAAGAATGAAATAAAAATTGAAAAGATATTATTTAAAAAGTAATTAAAATAATTTGGCATAAGATCAACATCTCAAAGAACTTTTTTTTTATTTTTAGCAAACAATTTATTTATTCATTAATTATTTATTTATTATTTATTCATTAAATGAGATAGAAATTAAATACATTAGATAAATAATTAAAATAGATATTATAGTATGATAATTTTATCGATTTAAATAATATTTAAATAATAATGAAAAATTATAATTTAACTTCTGCCACAGATTAGATGTTTTGCAGAGATTATTTTAGAGAATATGAACATGAGATATTACAGATCAATCATTTAAATATTTTAGCAATAAGAAATATTGATATTGGCACACTAGACAATATTTTTTATTTAAAAAGGTTTAAAATATACTTAGTAAAATCGATTGTAAAATATAATAATTAAATATCAAGTTATAAAAATCAAGGTGTTATAATAATTTAATTGTTTTAAAGATTATTATTAACAGTAGTGGTAAAAGATTTTTAATTGAAAATAATAAACATTTATTTTTTATTCATTAGCATGTTGTATTGAACACATTTAATGCATTCATTTGACGTAATTATATATTACCGTTACATATTATCAAATCTTCATTTAACATCTTAATAAATTCTTAAAAGAATCAATCAAAAAACAAAATTTTTTAAAAAATGTATATAAATATTTGTATTAAAAAAACGTAATTTAGAAAATTCATAAAAATTTGCAGATTTTTTAATCCCATACTAAGGTGATTTGAGGATGTATTATTACTGCTTATTGCTGTAATCTTTAATGAAAATGGCTTCACGTAAAAAGGTTACCGGAACGCGAGTCTTCTGGAGCACCCCGTATTTCAACACTGAATGCACGTTCTATTTGGATTTTCTTCTCCCTTTTCCCCCTGACGACCATCAAGCCAGCGTACGAGCGTCGCAATCAATGAAGCTACGATTCATCGAGCAGTAGCGTATCATCAAGAAATCAAATTAAGGTAGTTTTTCTGATGTGATAAACGTGCGTACGACTACGGCGAAAGATTTTAACATTTGTTTATCATAATTATTTATTCATTCTCATTATATTTTGTTTAGTGCAAAGTTTTTTGCATTAAACTTTTTTTATCTTGGAAAATTACTAAAGACAGAAAATTATACTACTTTAGTAGTTAGTATTATATAGTACTTAAAATAAGTATACTAAAATATTGTATAAATATAGAATAAAGGAAAAAAAAGAGAAAATATAATTAAGAGATGTGATAGTGATACGTCGTCAAATTAGTGCGCATTCATATAAAATTTGTTATTAATAATGCACTTATTTTATTAATAAATTGCTACTATTTGATTGGTATATTTAACCAATAAAAACTGATCAATTTGTAGAGGCCCTCCACTACCCCGCCGATTTTAATCGGCGGTCCTCTTTTCTTTGTACATATGACTTAAACTTTTTTCTACATTTATTATATAATAAAATTTAGTAAAATTAATTATATAATAAAATTTAGTATAAAAAAATAAAAAATTTAATATAAAAAAAACAGTAAAATAAAATATATTTTATGTAAATTTTAAATTATGAAAATTATATTAATCAAATATAAGTTTAATATAAGTACAAAAAATTTAACAAAAGAAAATCATGTAATATAATCTTTTCTAAAAAAAAGGCATGTTAAATCGATACTTCCATCTTTCAAAATTCTCGAAGTTTATTATTGACGATTTTCCGCGATGCTGATTGGTTCTCTCTCTGCGCTAACTTTGTAAAAATAAATAATTCATTGTATAGATCGCGGTTGCGATTGCGGTGCGGTTGCGGTTATGGTTGTGGTGCGTTGCAATTGCGATTGCAATGCGTTTGCGATTGCGGTGTGGTTGCGGTGCATTTGCGGTACATTTGCGGTGCGGTGTGGTTGTGGTGCGTTTGCGGTGTGGTTGCGGTTGCTATGCTTTTGCGTTTGCGGTTCCGTTGCGGTTGCGATTAAGAAAAGATAAATAACTTCACTATAGTGTTTTAAAAAACTGTCGAGTAAGCTACGAGAATATGCAATAAAAGTGGGATTCTATTCTTCTGCCAAGAGATGATATAAATGTTTCTGCATTGCTACTCGTTATGCTCGTTATGCTTCTTTAGAGCTTATGGGACAGACGTATGATTTTCCCGAAGAAAATATAAAATAAATAATAATACCGCATCCAATTTTTCCATCAAAAATTAATCAGAAAATTAGGGATAGAAATGCTAATTAAATAGAAACTAATAGTGTAATGACTATTGTATAAAACAGGAATCTAATCTAATGTTTCTTTAATAATTTGAAAGATTTTTGCTTCTGAATAATCTTTGGTGGAAAAGTATTATGCTACTGTAGACTGAGAAAATGCATATTCATCAAACATTTTTTTATATACTGTATTTTTTAATTCCTTTGTTAAAGAAGCTTGATTTTTAAAAGTAGAAACTTGTTTTAGAGATTTGATATTAAAGACTCAGTTTTCTTATGTCCGGAGAATTAAAAAAAATTTAAATGATTCTATATTACATTTTATGTATTATTATATGTATTACATAATTTTTGAAATATAGAATTTTACAGAAATATTTCGTGATATATAATTTTATAATCTAACATAACATTTAAGAACAAAAATGTTATAATTTAACACAATACAATTTAATTTAATACAATTAATTTAATACACTTTAATACAATAGTATAATAAACGATATTTTTAATTTAGAATTAACAAATATTTTTAAAAATATTTGTTAAAAAAATTAAAAATTATTTAAAGTTAAAAATACAATTTTAATATAATATTTGCAAATTATTTTCAATTCGGTTTTAAATTAATAAATATTATTTCAATAAACATTTCATAATTAGTTTTTATAATAGTCCTACCGTCTCAAGTTAATTAATATATATAATTTATAAATATATTTATAATTTTAATATATTTGCAAATATTATATTAAAACTTCAATTTTAAATTAATAAATATTATATCAATAAACATGACTTTCAATATTTATCATCATATATAATGTTTTAAGAGAACTACTTTATGTAAATATATATGTAATATATATTAGAAAATACTTTTTATTATTTATAAATCCTTGATTAAAATGCTGATAGCATTCATTTACATTTAATATAATATACAATTTTATAATATATAATAATATAATATTTATAAGCTATATAAAATAATATAATATTATGAACTTTATAAGCTTTATAAATAATTCATTTATAAATTTATTTACAAATAAATTTATAAATAAACTTTTAATTTA